ACTTTGTACGATATATCAAAATCTTAAGTTTTAAATCCCTTTAGTATACAGTCACCGGCAAACTTTTTATCTGCGTTTCAGTCCAACGATTAATTTTGCAAAGACTGTAGTAATAATAGATTGGGGGTTATAAAAATATCAAATATGAATGAAACAATGGAAGTTTTAAGAGCAATAAAGGCTGAAAATGTGACAGTTTTCAAGCAAGAAACTTGTACCACTAAAGCCAATATTGACCCTTTAAAATTTACTTGTTAGATCGCATCTTGAATATTCCGGTAATTTTTGTCTCCAAACTTCAAAAAGAAACGTTTTTAAAAGGTTACCAGCTGTTTTTTCCTCAAACCTTATGAAGAAAACCTCAAAACAGGGTACCTTTTCTTTTTTGAGAAAAGACTAGATTGTTCTCATTCAAACCTTTTAAGATATTAAATGGCTTTGACAACCAAATAAAGTTGTGAATAAAATCCACATTTCAGAGGGGAAAGGAAATTGAAAAGGAAAAAAAGGGGCTCAGGAACGAAGAGAGGTTTGGTATGGATTATGTGAAGGGGTCAGAATTTAAAATTTTAAAGTGCGAATGGAAAAGCACTTTGAAAATGTGGGATCAAGGCTACGATGCTGGAGCATCTGAAACCCGGGGGATTCTGAGTTTTTCTGTCTGTACTCGACTGAAAAAAGACTAGGGTGTAGGCGAGACCTTTAAAATATAAATCCCTTTTTTTTGGGTATTGTCTTACTTAGCAACTTGTCGGTATTGTGAACCATTTCACATTCACTTTGTGGAAAAAGTAGATAGTAAGAAGAAAATTGTAATTTTAAGGGGAACTGATAACCCTGAGGAGAACAGTGGACCCAGCTTGAGTGCAGATTTAACAAATTATGAAGATAGTAACATTTACAAAAACCAGAGTATTTGGGTACAACAAGTTTCACCCGGTTGCTTCCCCGTGTAAATTCCATGCTGTTTTTCCAGTTTGGTATATTTTTTTCTCCCAGCCCCGTATTTTTCCCTGCCGTCAAAGGGGCCCAAAGGGTTGGGGGAGGGGGAGCCTTTTGCTTTTCTGTCCCCTTTATTTAAAGCCTAATAAATTTTTTGAGGTCCTATTTTAGAAGATTAAAGTAGGTTGCTCTTCTTGGCAGAAGCCCCGGGTTGGACTCCCCAAATCCTTGCTGTCGTCGTTAATTTTGAAAATGGTTATTACGTCGTTGTTGCAGGCGGGGTTCAAAATAAGGTTCGGGGGCTTCTTTCTTTTTTTGCGAATCTGGGTACAGGGCAGGGGTGTTTGGGGGGGCCCATGGCCCAAGGGCCCCTCCAGTGAAGGGAGAGAGGAAATGGCCTGAAGGGGTTGGCTGACAAAAAGGGGGGTGAGCCTGCAAATGGCACGCCCACTGAGGGCCTACAGGTGCAGAGGTGGTGCAAAATGTGAAATTCCCCGCGGGGTCAGACAGATTGGCTTCTATGCGACAGCATAGGTGTCTATGCAGACAGTAAGGCTGTAATTTGCTCGGCCAGCACCCCATGGTGTCCTCGCCTTGACTGGCGGAAAAAAAAAAAAAGGTCTCTCGCAGGAAAAGGGCAGGAAAACAAAAAAAACACCACAATATATATATTATTAAAATTATTATATATATATATATATATATATTATAATTAATATATATATAAAATTATATATATTAAAAATTTTTATATACCCCCAAACAGGACATGGAAAAAAAAAAATTCCCCAAGGGGGGGAAAAAAACAAAAGGGGGGTGTGCTAACACGTGGTCTAAAGGGAGTGAACGTCGATGGGGATCCTGACGCCTTCCCGCGTCTGGCAGATACTGCAATACATGGAATCGGGCTGAGCTTTACTAACAGGGTACGGTCTCGGAGCGGTGAAGAGTCATCGTAGGAGTTGCTCGGGTTACTCATTTCCCAGGCACAACCGCAGGTGCCCTCGAGTGAGATTCCATCTGAAAATCATAAAACATACACGGATGCGTGAGTGGGTAGCAGTCATGACATCCCTTTGTGCAGGCGCCCTTAAGCATGGGTGGGTACAAGCGCCTGCCGACAGGGTCGAACTTTTCGATTGATAAGTGTCATTCTCTCGGCAGTTGGAGTTATAGCAGAGGTTAGTCTAAGCGTTCACAGACTGGTTCTCTACATATAACTTCTCTGACAGTCAGGTGAAGTGAAACAAATCTCGACGGGAATCGTAGCAAGTACGATTCTGCAGGGCATCACAAGAAGTGAACATAAAAATCCTTCTGTACAAGGGGCTCAGATGCTCGGAACTGACGCCGGGGTCCGGGCACAGACCTGTGGTCCACACACAGCTGGGCTCAAGACCACACAGAAAACTGCACACACCCGCAATGCACATGTGGTACAACATGGCTTACTAGCAAATGACACTTTTCTGTGCAAAAATCGACACTAAGCCATACACCAACATGCGAGAACACTTACTGAGAGGAATTAACACATGACATGTATCTTTTGTCTTCTCGACAACACAACATATTGCTCACTGTGAAACTAACACTGTTGGTATGATCATGTGGTGATGTCAGGCATGATGCTGAGAGGTGATGTCATTTGGTGACATCACGAAGTGACAGCAGCATGGTGACAAACGTCACGAGGTGACGTCCTGGAGTGACGTCGTGAGGGATGTCATGGGGTGACATCGCGAGGTGACGTCAGGCAGACATCGTTACGTCGTGAAGTTGGGCAGCAGATCACAGCGTGGCTTGAGATCTGGCTTAACCCACACGGCTTGTAGATCTGCGTGGCTTCGTGATCCACATGGACTTCCATTGACCTTGAATACACAGCTTGAATACACAGCTCTGGCCAAGAATTCACACGAAAATTCACAGAAAACACAGTAGAGAGGGAGTAGTCAGTGGTGGCGTACAGTAGGGCGAGCATGAGCGAGTGGCGTACGGTGGAGCCAGGACTGTGTGCCTACCTTCCTCACCCATACACACGTGGAATATAGTGCAGATTCTACCACACTGGGCACAGAAATCACCACAAACTCGCCTCTGCTTGCTGAAATAGCCGTGCTGAGCTGAAAAACAACAGCAACATACGAGTGACGCTGAACACGTGACTTAAAAAACAGCGTGGGGCGATGTGAAGTGCCAGGTGACGCCACTTATATTTCTCGAAGAAATTCGGCAAATTTCGGCCTGGATCCTGCTTGTACCTGTATCTGGATGCTGAGACTTGCAGACACGACATCAGGATAACTCATTGAGAGACGGACGCTTCTTGTGTAGGGTGATGAAGTGAAAACAGTTTCATTCCTCTTCTTCCCTCCTCTGGTCAACACAACTGCTGTGAGGCACCGCTGCCACCAATGTTTTTGAAAATAGTTATTATGTCGTTGTTACAGGCGGGGTTCAATGATAAGGCTTCGGAGGCTTCTTTATTTGCGATATCTGGGCACACAGGCAGTGTGCTTGTGCCCATGGCCCCTAGGGGCAATGCCAGCGAGGGAGAGAGAAGGCATGTTGACTGAGCTTGGCTGCCAGAGTGAGAGAGAGGCAGGGTGATGCCGTTGCAAGTGGCATGCCCACTGAGAGGCCTACAGGTGACAGCACGAGCAACGCGCGAAATATGAACTCAGCTGGCAGACAGCATAAGCTGTCTATGCAGACAGTACAGGCTGTCTACATCGTTCCCATGTACTGCCATGTACTCCCAGGTGCTGTCATGTCCTGGTGATGCTGCCATCAGCATTACCAGGTGCGACGCATCGAGATGTTAAGAGAAGTGATTCAATTTTCATACTTATGTGTGTTTTTTAACTCCGTCCTCATGGTTGCTTAATGAGCTCAATGAGACGGCCTCTCACACGCTGGAGAGAGAGAGAACGTGGATAGGGTAAGAGGAAAATAAAAATGGAGCGAGTGGGCAGTAGAAAGAGGGAGAGGAAGGGAGGGAGAGGTAAATGGATCGGCGTGATTAAAAAAAAATTTTTTTTGTATAATTCTTTCCCAATCCTTCCACCCTCTCACATTAATCGTTCAGATTCCAACGTTTTCGTGATGCTTTCAAACACTTCGCTGCCAAACTTCTCGCCATCACCTTTTTTCTCTTTCGATGGTTAAATGTGCTCTTAAATGTTTGTTCCCTTCAAGGCAGTCCCTTCAAGGTGTTCCCTTCAAGGCAGCCCCTTCAAGCACGTCAATGGATTCTTGACCCGAGGAATTATCTCTTGTCTCCTTCGTCATATTAGAATCAAAATATCCCCGACCCTACTCCGATCAACGACTGGATCGTCAATAAGAAGCAACGAGTGGTACTGAACCGAGGCAAGAGTCGCTAAACGTAACCAGCGAAGCCCTTCAAGAATCAAACTTTGGTCCATTCACGTTTATAATTTACGTAAATATTAATCTTGTAATAATTAATCTCCCTCCTTGATGCTGGTAAAGTGCTTTTTATTATTATTATTATTATTATTATTATTATTATTATTATTTGTCTTGTTGATGTTGAAGACTGAGACACCTGTGCAACATTTGGGTATCATTGTTCTGGAAAAGTTTCTCCAGCCAGTGACTTCTTCAGTGAGGAACTTAGCAAGATAGGACTCGCAGCAATGGATGGGACAAGTCTAGACTTAGAAAGGATATAGGAAAGCATTGGTTTGGTAGTGAAGTTGTAGACGCATGGAATACACTCCCGGGTAGCGTCGTTGTAGCGAGAGATTTGGGTAGCTTTAGGGAAAGGTTAGTAAGGTAGATGAGAGGATGGGTGTGAGTTAGACATTTTATTGTGGCAACGTTTCGCTCTCCAGGAACTTTGTCAAGCCGTTGAAAACAACACGAGGGCACAGAGGATATATATAGGTATTAGAGTAAGATGTAAAAGCATAAAATAATCGTTGTAGGTAGTAGTATTAGTGGTAGTAGTAGTCATAGACCTGCTTAGTATGGACCAGTACGACTGCGTCAGTGTTCCCCTGATAACGTTCTTGTGTTCACTCTGACAGGTGGAGAATGCGAGGAAGGAAGGCAGCACAAGTGTGCCAACACCAGGTGTATCCTGGCCAGCAATCTTTGTGATTCATTTTGTGACTGTGTACCTGACTGTGATGACGAGACTCATTGTACCACTGCCCTCTACACCCGTCTAGATGGTACGTACCCCAGCCCTCTACACCCGTCTAGATGGTACGTACCCCAGCCCTCTACACCCGTCTAGATGTTAGTTTCCCCAGCCCTCTACCAACCGTCTAGATGGTACGTACCCCAGCCCTCTACACCCGTCTAGATGGTACGTACCCCAGCCCTCTACACCCGTCTAGATGGTACGTACCCCAGCCCTCTACACCCGTCTAGATGGTACGTACCCCAGCCCTCTACACTCGTCTAGATGGTACGTACCCCAGCCCTCTACACTCGTCTAGATGGTACGTACCCCAGCCCTCTACACCCGTCTAGATGGTACGTACCCCCAGCCCTCTACACCCATCTTGACGGTACGTACCCTGACTTACACTGTGGGAAATCAATAACGCCAGCCACTGTAATTGCTCACTCAGAATTTATCATGAACCTGGTGAAGGATTTTTAACCCAAGTTATTGGAAACTACATATTCCCCTTCCGAGGATCAAGTGGAGAAAAGTGACATAACGACACAATGGAAGGGAAATGAAGAATTAGCTGAACCTGTATGAACATTTTAGCCACAGTGAGTTTTAGCCAGTCGCAATGGATAGACTTCGAGAGAGGATCAGCATATAACTCACGACATTGTTATTATGATTTCTTAAGTTATAACTCATGGCAAGTGAGTTGTAAGACTCCAGGCCGGTGCCACGATGGCGGAAGATTCATTTGCAAAAACTTGCATTTGTGGTCGCAGTGGTGGCCCATGCTAATCTCTAGTGTAGAAATATGCCTAGTTGGTGGAATCTTATTGTAACCAGCTGGCCCGGTGGCTGACACACTGGCTGACACACTGGCTACCCTGGAGTTTTGCTACTCACTTGCCATGGGTTCTAACCCCACCCATACCGTGGTTTGGATGAGCATACATATATGTCGTGCTGAACAAGTAAAACTTGCGATTTTGGCTTAAATGTCAATGCTCTGCTTGCCGAATAAGACAAGCGAAAATTTGTGTAAGCAATAATTTCGCAAAAAATGATTCTGAACCTAACGAAAAAATATATATTTGATTGTTGGTTTATTAATAAATTATTGTAAACTTTCCTAAAATATATTTAGTTTGATTAGGCTAAATTAAATTGCGCTTGTTATAATAAGGTTAAGTAAGTTTTCTAAGGTTCTTTTGGTACAAAACTATTAATTTTTACATTAACGTGAATGAAATAATATATATATATAAAATATATATATATATATATATATATATATATATATATATATATATATATCTTTCAACGTATAAGAGAAAATTCTAGAAAGGGCTTTAATTTTAAATAAGATCTTGCTAATTGACCAGTTTTTACCTATTCGGCACATTATTATATATATATATAAAAATATAGATATATATATATATATATATATATATATATATATATATATATATATATATATATATATATATATATATATATATATGCATGCAATAAGATCACAGTAAACAGGTGTATTTCAGAATATGCAAAACAACCACTCTGAAAGAATAGAGAAATTCCAAGCGCTTTCGTGACTACTCACATTATCAAGGAACTATGAAAGTAAAGCATCCAAGGAAGCTATATAAGGGGTCCTGGCCAGCACCTCACTATCAGATCCCACAACGGTTAAACACGTGACGCGCGCCGACCCAACTTGATAGGTCCCTTTTGGGACAACTCACCCACAAACTATTCTACCAAGAAAATTTAAAAATTATTATTTGTCCAGTGTATTATTAAATTCTTCCCAAATTCTATTAATTATAAATGGATCTAATTTATATAAACCAAAGGAAATATTCATATTATTGTCAAAACTACTTTTTATGAAACAAGATTTAATTATATTCCTGTCAACCATGGACTTGCTTGATACTACTATTCTCAACTTTTTGAAAATGAATTGGATGGTTAAAATCTCTTACATGAATAAATAAAGCATTGGAATCTTGTCCAGTTCTAATGCTATATTTATGTTGTTTTAATCTTAGTTCGAGATTTTTACCAGTTTGACCGTAATTACGGTTTATATAAATTAGATCCATTTATAATTAATAGAATTTGGGAAGAATTTAATAATACACTGGACAAATAATAATTTTTAAATTTTCTTGGGTAGAATAGTTTGTGGGGTGAGTTGTGCAAAGGACCTATCCAAGTTGGGTCGGCGCGCGTCAGGTGTTTAACCGTTGTGGGATCTGATAGTGAGGTGCTGGCCAGACCCCTTATATAGCTTCCTTGGATGCTTTACTTTCATAGTTCCTTGATAATGTGAGTAGTCACGAAAGCGCTTGGAATTTCTCTATTCTTTCAGAGTGATTGTTTTGTATGTATATATATATATATTGTGTGTGTGCGCGCGCAAGGAATTCGCAAGAGCAGGCGAAATATACACAAACACTGATCTCTGAGAATGGTATAGCACTGCATACCTTGTTCTAAGGTTCGTAGGTTCGAGTCTCCTTCAGCCAGAGATCAGTGTTTGTGTATATTTCGCCTGCTCCTGCGAATTCCTTGCATTGTTAAAATCTCTAGTAAGGCTGATGCATGCAGGGGATGAGATGAAAAGCTGTAAGCCTTCTCCCTGAAAGCTGGCTGCCTTGGATCAACGTGTAGCGCAAGCTGAACACCAAGGTATTGTCCAGTGTGGGTAGATTGGTATAGCACTGCGTACCTTGTTCCAAGGTTCGTAGGTTCGAGTCTTCTTCAGCCAGATATATGTATATGTTACACAATTATTCCCCTCTCCCGTCTTATCTTTCCCTAGCTCTCCCTCACCATTCCTCCGTGTTGTCCTCTCTGTCTCCCCCTCCCCTCTCTCCTGCCTTCTTCTCCTCCCTCCCAGCAGAGGATATTACCCAGACTTTGAACAACAACAATAATAGTTAATATTACGACGTCGTGGAAGCTGCTTTGAATACCTACATAGAATGTTATTGTCTGCCGGTAATATCCTTTAAGTGATATTTCAAATTAACTTCATATTCCCCCTTCCCAGACACCTTAATCCCACCCCAGTTTACTCCTGTGTACTCGGCTAATTGTGGTTGCAGGGGTAGATTCATAGCTCCTGGTCCAGCCTCTTCATTGGCCGTCCAATCTTTCCCTGCTTCATGAGCTTTATCATACCTCTTCTTAAGGTTATGTATGGATCCTGCCTCTACTACCTCACTTTCCAGATTATTCCACTGACTAAAGAAATACTTCCTAACATCCCTGTGACTCGTTTGAGTCTTCAACCTCCTATTGTGACCCCTTGTTGCTGTATCGCATCTCTGAAACATCCTGTCTGTCCTTGTCAATTCGTCTCGGTATTTTATATGTCGTTATCATGTCCCCTCCTGTCCTTCAGTGTCGTCAGGTCGATTTCCCTTAACATCTCCTCGTAGGACATGCCCCTAAGCTCCGGGACTAGTCTCGTTGTAAACCTTTGCACTTTCTCTAATTTCCTTACGTGCTGGGAATGTGTTGGCTCCAAACTGGTGCTACATACTCCAATATGGGCCTGACATACACGGTGTACAGGATCCGAAACGATTCCTCTCTGAGATGTCGGAATGCTATTCTTAGGTTTGCTAGTCGCCCATATTTTGCAGCAGTTATTTGGATGGTGTGCACCTCAGGACATGTGCCTAGTATAATGCATACGCCAAGATGCTTTTCCTTGGATGAGGTTTGTAGTCTTTGGCCCCCCTAGACTGTACTCTGCCTGCGGACTTCTTTGCCCTTCCCCGATCTTCATGACTTTGCACTTGGTGGGGTTGGACTCCAGGAACCAGTTTCTGGACCAGGCGTGCAGCCTGTCCTGATCCCTCTGTAGTGGTGCCTCATCCTCCTCCGACTGAATTCTCCTCATTAATTTTATATCATCTGTAAACAGGGACACTTCTGAGTCTATTCCTTCCGTCATGTCATTCAGAAATACCAGAAACAGCACTGGTCCTAGGACTGACCCCCTGTGGAACCCCGCTCGTCACTGGCACGTTGTCACTTACATTAACTAGCTGTTGTCTTCCCATCAGGTAATACCTGATCCACTGCAGTGCCTTCCCTGTTATCCCTGCCTGGTTCTCCAGTTTTTGCACTAATCTCTTGTGTGGAACTGTGTCAAAAGCCTTCTTACAGTCCAAGAAAATGCAACCCACCCACCCCTTTCTCTCTTGTCTTACTGCTGTCACCCTGTCATAGAACTCCAGTAGGTTTGTTTGTGTATGTGTGTGTTTGCTTGTTTGTGATTAATTTACTAGCTATAGTTGGTGCTTACTACCTCCTGTAACTCGTTTCGTAGTTCGGTCCCTCCAGGGATGGAGTCTCTTGTTGGTGTCACGAGTACAACAACTCTCGCTATTTCGTTAAGGACTTATATAAATTTTCTTTTAGTTTCATTTCCCCTTTAATTTTCATTTTACAGCGGTGACGTCTTGTTATTCCTCACAAAAGTACATCTCAATTTTCTCTGGGAGCCAGTATGTAGTTCTTTGGAACTTCGCTCTTGCCCACCCCTGGGGCAACATAAAAAAAAAAAAACGCACAGGCCTATGGTCCACGCGGGGCTTAAGCCACTGTCCCCAACCCAGTCAGCTCGGTCACATCCCCTTGAAGGAGCTCGGCATCGATCCATTAGAAAGTAGTCGGTCCCAAATACACCAACCCCCACCACTGTGTTTACTCTAACCTATTTTAAAAAAATTCAGGTAGGTAACACACAAATTTTTAAATTCAGTTTTTTGGCCAACAAACGTTGTAAAAACTTTTATTAAAATTTTTTCAACAGTATATTTTTTAAACTTGGCTATGAATTTTTTTTTTTTTTTTTTTTTTTTTTTTTTTTTTTACTCTCCCAAATGACCTGTCAACATTTCTGAAATACTCTGCCAAAATAAATAATACACAAACAACCCGCACATAGAAGAGAGGAGCTTACGACGAGTTTCGGGCCCACTTGGACCCTTTAAAACACACTAATAGAAGGGGCGCACGGCTATATTAGGCAGGAAGAGGGGGGGTGGGTCTAAGGGTAAGATTGCAGCAGAGAAATACTCTGGCAGCGAGACACACACACACACACTGGGCTTCATTACCATTTATTAAGAATATTTAATTGTGTGTAATTACCTCTGGCAGGTGAGGTCCCGGACCTTCCTCTGTAGATGTTCCTGGTCCATGTAGTGTTGATGGTCTTTATAACTTCTACTACTATGGTTACAACTCTTAGTACTATTATTATTACTGCTACTACTACTTTCTTCTGCTGTAAAGAAGTTAGACTAAGAGTCCCTGCATGTTATTTGTCGTCTAAGATTTATCCGGGGAGTCCGTGACGTCAGCATAGCCAGGGAGCCTTGCTATAAATGTACCAGGAAATCTATATTACACGAGGAGTACAGCGGACAAATGAAGTAGCGGCAGCAACACTCATAGCAAGAGGTATTTTTGAGGTCCCCAGCTCTCGGGCTTAATGCCAAAAGCTGGGGTGTGACTCCAAAAAGATCCTGTAGTGCTTGCTGCCTTTGCACCTCCTGACATCGTCTGCTGCTATGCAGCTGCCACACCCTTCAAGCCCACTGTCGGCGGGGTTTGTGGCAGTCCAAGGTGCCAAACTTCTCCCTACGAGCCCCGTGGGGGTGGGGAATGGGGCTAGGCCTGGGGACAGCTGGTCCCAGAAGACGAGGAGGTACTTGTACCTCCTCCCATGGCAGACATTGGTCTGACACTCCCACGACACGGAGTCAAGGCCGGGCCACCTTTTGGAGAAGACCCGGACCGGGCGATTATACCGGCGAATCTAGACCAACTATATTAGTTATTATTTCCATCAATTTAGATTTGAAACTGACATTTACATCGTATTTACGAAATGTTTCTCCTCTTAGTCATCTTTCATCATCTTCCTCTTATTCTTTTCCTCCTGTTCCTCCTCCTTTTATTCTTTTCCTCCTGTTCTTCCTTTTTTTTCATTTATGAAGGAGGACTCAACACATCGACTCCAGGCTGAGGGACTGATTACCTCAGTCCTCTTCTATCCCCTTCGAGAGAGGTTCCTTGATGCTGGTGAGGGTCTCTTTATCAAGAGAATTGAATCTGTATTCCAATTCCTTGAATTAAGCCTGAATGGCTTCCAACACCTCCCCTCTCTCCCCACAGGCACTATATAATCCCTACGGTTTTAGCTCTCCCCGGGACAATAAAAATGATGATTTTCTTTCACCGTTCTTTATATTGGACTGATGAAGGCATTATCTGGCGAAGCGTAACCTCATTTATCCCCTACTGGAGCAACTCAATCTTCTCGACAATTGTAAATCTGTCCTCGAGCAGCGCTGCATGACCCTATGGGTTTAGCGCTTGGTTTTGATTATAATAGACCTGTCTTCAAGTCTAATATTTCTTCTCCACATGGGCAGGTGTGAGCAGGTGCGAGGTCGGCGCAGCGCTAACCTGTATGGTCGCCAATCTAGACCGCTCTAAGGACAGGTGTATCTCGCACTCACACCTGTGTGATGGCCGCAGTGACTGCCACAATGGTCGATACCTCAACGATGAATCTGGCTGTGGTAAGTGAATTGTGTTTTCATCAGTCTTTTCTTCAGTCTTCCAGCTCTGACAGGACAGTGACTGTTGTCTGGTCCCCAGCTCTCGGACAGGTCAGTGACTGTTGTCTGGTCTCCAGCTCTCGGACAGGTCAGTGACTGTTGTCTGGTCCCCAGCTCTCAGACAGGATAATAACTGTTGTTTGGTCCCCAGCTCTCGGACAGGACAATAACTGTTGTCTGGTCCCCAGCTCTCAGACAGGATAATAACTGTTGTTTCGTCCCCAGCTCTCAGACAGGACAATAACTGTTGTCTGGTCCCCAGCTCTCAGACAGGACAGTGACTGTTTGTCTGGTCCCAGCTCTCAGACAGGACAAATAAACTGTTGTTGGTCCCCAGCTCTGACAGGACAGTGACTGTTGTCTGGTCCCCAGCTCTGACAGGACAGTGACTGTTGTCTGGTCCCCAGCTCTGACAGGACAGTGACTGTTGTCTGGTCCCCAGCTCTGACAGGACAGTGACTGTTGTCTGGTCCCCAGCTCTGACAGGACAGTGACTGTTGTCTGGTCCCCAGCTCTGACAGGACAGTGACGTGTTGTCTGGTCCCCAGCTCTGACAGGACAGTGACTGTTGTCTGGTCCCCAGCTCTGACAGGACAGTGACTGTTTTTCTGGTCCCCAGCTCTGACAGGACAGTGACTGTTGTCTGGTCCCCAGCTCTGACAGTGACTGTTGTCTGGTCCCCAGCTCTGACAGGACAGTGACTGTTGTCTGGTCCCCAGCTCTGACAGGACAGTGACTGTTGTCTGGTCCCCAGCTCTGACAGGACAGTGACTGTTGTCTGGTCCCCAGCTCTGACAGGACAGTGACTGTTGTTGGTCCCAGCTCTGACAGGACAGTGACTGTTGTCTGGTCCCCAGCTCTGACAGGACAGTGACTGTTGTCTGGTCCCCAGCTCTGACAGGACAGTGACTGTTGTCTGGTCCCCAGCTCTGACAGGACAGTGACTGTTGTCTGGTCCCCAGCTCTGACAGGACAGTGACTGTTGTCTGGTCCCCAGCTCTGACAGGACAGTGACTGTTGTCTGGTCCCCAGCTCTGACAGGACAGTGACTGTTGTCTGGTCCCCAGCTCTGACAGGACAGTGACTGTTGTCTGGTCCCCAGCTCTGACAGGACAGTGACTGTTGTCTGGTCCCCAGCTCTGACAGGACAGTGACTGTTGTCTGGTCCCCAGCTCTGACAGGACAGTGACTGTTGTCTGGTCCCCAGCTCTCAGGCAGGACAGTGACTGTTGTCTGGTCCCCAGCTCTGACAGGACAGTGACTGTTGTCTGGTCTCCAGCTCTGACAGGACAGTGACTGTCTGGTCCCCAGCTCTGACAGGACAGTGACTGTCTGGTCTCCAGCTCTGACAGGACAGTGACTGTCTGGTCCCCAGCTCTGACAGGACAGTGACTGTCTGGTCCCCAGCTCTGACAGGACAGTGACCTGTTGTCTGGTCCCCAGCTCTGACAGGACAGTGACTGTTGTCTGGTCCCCAGCTCTGACTGATATAATGTCTTTTTGTAGTTTGACCAAAATCATTATTTTTATTGAAAATAATGTCAGAGTAGACCTTTTATCAGTACGACGTTTCGCACACATGAGTATTTATCAGCTTTGTGTAACGTCGAATTAATCAGTCTTTTTTTATACTACTTTTCACTATATAAACACAAGTAAAACATTTATTAAAATCTTCCACTCTAAATAAACCCCCCAAAATATTTTTATAGTGGAAAAAGTTTAATTTCCTGTAAACAAAAATCCTTGGAAAGAATGAGAGAAAAATATCAGGATTTTTAATTTTATTTAAGGTGTAACTACGATATACTTCAGTTACCTGATGCGAGTGGGTTTTTTCCTCAGCAGTGAGAGGGAGTGAGAGGGAGGAAGGGTCAGTGTGTGCGGAGGTACGACCACTCAACCAGAGTCAGGAGGAGCGGCCAGTCAACCACAGTGAGTGGTTCTTCTGCCAGGATGGTCGTTGTCTGCCTAGCAGCCTACTCTGCGACTTTAAGTACGACTGTCTGCATGGTGACGATGAATTCCAGTGTGGTGAGTATTGTGTAGTAGTAGTTGTGGTAACAGTAGTTGTTGTAGTAACAGTAGTAGTTGTAGTAACAGTATTAGTTGTAGTTACTAGTTATCAAAGGCACTTGTCGACGGTAGATAATTGGCCTGTTTTTAAGTGTGTGTGTGTTTGTGTGTGTGTGTGTGTGTGTGTGTGTGTGTGTGTGTGTGTTACCTACTCACGTATGTGGTTACAGTGGTCGATTCATTGCTTTTGGCCCCACTTCTTCGCTGGCCGCTACTAGGTTCACTCTTTCTCCCTGCTCCAAGAGCAGGATCCTAGATCTCGCTTCTATTGCTTCACTCTCCAGATTGTTCCACTTTCTGACAACTCGTAAGGTTGGAGAAAAACTTCCTTCGCTATGACTCGTCTGAGTTTTCAACTTCCAGTTGTGACTTCTTGTTCCTGTATCCAATCTTTGAAACATTCTGGTCCTGTTTACCTTGTCAATTCGTCCTATGTTCCCCCTCTCCCTCCTGTCCTCCAGTGTCGTCAGGTTGAACTCCCTTAACCTCTCCTTGTTACTCAGACGTATTGCTTGTTACTCAGACGTATTGCTTGTTACTCAGACGTATTGCTTGTTACTCAGACGTATTGCTTGTTACTCAGACGTATTGCTTGTTACTCAGACGTATCGCTTGTTACTCAGACATATCGCTCGTTACTCAGACGTATCGCTCGTTACTCAGACGTATCGCTCGTTACTCAGACGTATCGCTCGTTACTCAGACGTATCGCTCGTTACTCAGACGTATCGCTCGTTACTCAGACGTATCGCTCGTTTACTCAGACGTATCGCTCGTTACTCAGACGTATCGCTCGTTACTCAGACGTATCGCTCGTTACTCAGACGTATCGCTCGTTACTCAGACGTATCGCTCGTTACTCAGACGTATCGCTCGTTACTCAGACGTATCGCTCGTTACTCAGACGTATCGCTCGTTACTCAGACGTATCGCTCGTTACTCAGACGTATCGCTCGTTACTCAGACGTATCGCTCGTTACTCAGACGTATCGCTCGTTACTCAGACGTATCGCTCGTTACTCAGACGTATCGCTCGTTACTCAGACGTATCGCTCGTTACTCAGACGTATCGCTCGTTACTCAGACGTATCGCTCGTTACTCAGACGTATCGCTCGTTACTCAGACGTATCGCTCGTTACTCAGACGTATCGCTCGTTACTCAGACGTATTGCTCGTTACTCAGACGTATTGCTCGTTACTCAGACGTATTGCTCGTTACTCAGACGTATTGCTCGTTACTCAGACGTATTGCTCGTTACTCAGACGTATTGCTTGTTGCCCAGACGTATTCCTTGTTGCTCAAATGTATTCCTTATTACTCAGACGTATCCCGTGCTATCCAGACGTATTCCATGTAACACAAACGTATTTTTTATGATAGAACCTTAATGGCCAGTTAGCTGATCGTTCTTGGAGCTAATTTAAGTTTCACAGTTTCGGCGTTTCTCACTGGTGTCCTCACTAACTTCATCCATAAATATTGACTTAAATTATTCCGCCGGTAAGTCATTTACATATATTAAGAACAGAAAAGGCCAGAGGACTGGAATTTGTAGGACTCCACTAAGAGTCGAGGACTGGTCTTGGAGTGACTCCACTAAGAGTCGAGGACTGGTCTTGGAGTGACTCCACTAAGAGTCGAGGACTGGTCTTGGAGTGACTCCACTAAGAGTCGAGGACTGGTCTTGGAGTGACTCCACTAAGAGTCGAGGACTGGTCTTGGAGTGACTCCACTAAGAGTCGAGGACTGGTCTTGGAGTGACTCCACTAAGAGTCGAGGACTGGTCTTGGAGTGACTCCACTAAGAGTCGAGGACTGGTCTTGGAGTGACTCCACTAAGAGTCGAGGACTGGTCTTGGAGTGACTCCACTAAGAGTCGAGGACTGGTCTTGGAGTGACTCCACTAAGAGTCGAGGACTGGTCTTGGAGTGACTCCACTAAGAGTCGAGGACTGGTCTTGGAGTGACTCCACTAAGAGTCGAGGACTGGTCTTGGAGTGACTCCACTAAGAGTCGAGGACTGGTCTTGGAGTGACTCCACTAAGAGTCGAGGACTGGTCTTGGAGTGACTCCACTAAGAGTCGAGGACTGGTCTTGGAGTGACTCCACTAAGAGTCGAGGACTGGTCTTGGAGTGACTCCACTGGAGAACCAAGCACTAGTTAGCTACATGAATCAGTATTATGAGCATGACCTATTATACAGACGAACCTTTTCGCCAACAAAGTTCCCCGAGTGCTGCACATGTCTCTCATTCATGAACGTGTCGGTATTGTAAACCAATCATAATTTGGTGATCCCTCTTGGTTCATACGATCCTTCATTCTCAACATTATCCTACATGCTCCGCATGATCCTACTGTATATAGCTCACATACTTCACAAGAGTGAGACCCATGTGCAGCAGTTAGGGATCTTTATTTAGAGACTTTTAGCCTACACAGTAGACTTCTTAAGTTGAATACAAAGGAGGCAGGAGAAACAATAGAGATGTAAAGACGTAGTTTTGAGGTGGTCAGTCCCTCAGCATGAAGATGTACCGTATTTTCTAACATAAAAGGCGCACGATTATATGTAAAGTAACGTTAGTAACAACTACTAAAGTAAGGCCTGAGCTTGCTATCACCTGCAGCTCATAAGACTGCCATCCCCACGAGCCCCTTTGGGGCGGGGCAGATGGCAGACCAGAGGCCTAGCTTCTCCCTACGAGCCCCGTGAGGGCGGGGACTGTGGCTAGGCCTGGGGACACTTGGTCCCAAAGATGAGGGGGTACTTGTACCTCCTCCCATGGGAAATTTAGGTCTCGAGATACTCCCCAGATAGGGAGCCAAGGCCGGGTCACCACTACTTGGAAAAGACCCGGGCCGGGAGAATACCGGCGAATAAGAAAAAAAAAAGTGTAACACAGCCTACCTTTGATCCTGACCTTGAGCATATAAGACGCAAGCTGATTTTCCAAGATATTTTGTCTGACAAACAGTGCGCCTTACATGCCGAAAAATGTGATGCCTAACTGTTGGACATTTCTTGCATATCAACTTATCCGTATTGTATACCATTATCACGTTTATAATTTACATGACTCTTCATGGATCTCACAACTAGGATCATTTTGTTTACTCTCAAAACATACTTGTCCATACTGGGTGGGGATGGAGGACTCGAGAAGAAATCCCATGCGAGTGTTATTGAATCCTCAGCCATTTAGAAAACGCTGCTTCCAGTCCCCCAGCACGGTTATCACACCCACAGATGGATGCATTGTTTTCAAGTAACACTCAGACCTTCAGCCGTGTTATAGTGGAGGTTGTTTACCAGCGTTGCTGGAGGTGGTGATGGAACAGTAGTAGTGGAATTCTCTGATTTCATCCGTAGAGAGAAATATCGTATACAAAGACACGTGAGCAAGTGATCAAGGTCTCAGTACCTAATGTTTTCTAATAAATATGTCTTAGTGTTTGCTCACGGTATCTATTACCAAGGTTTATACCTTAGAGAGGATTATGTATCCCTGGACACCGCTGGTGGTGGAAGGTGAGAGGGAATGTCAGTTGTGTTGCGTTCTGTGTTCGCGGGTGAATTTCAACTGTGTTATTCTGTCTGTTTCTCTGCCACTCAAACAGGTTAACGTTTGTCAGTGAGGCAGGTCAACATTTTTTTGTGTATGTGCTCACCTGTATGTGGTTGCAGGGGGTTGAGTCTCGGCTCCTTTGTGTGTATCAGTGTAGTTACCTATGCGGTTGCAGGGAATAGAGTTTCAGCTCTGGACCTGCCTCTACACTAGGCTTTACTAGGTACGTCCTCTTTCCTGCCTTCGAAAGGGCAATCAAATGTATTCTTAATTAAAACTGTGTGTGGATCTTGCCTCTACCACTTTGTCCAGATCGTTACTCTTCTTGCTTACTCTGAAGCTGAAGAAAAGTTTCCTAACATCCCCGTAACTCGTCTGTGTTCTAAACTTCCAGCTGTGCCCTCGTGTTTCTTACATATTATGATGATCAGTGACACACTTATACTTCGGGTAAGCCTGTCTGGCTGCTGTCTTCAATACCGGAACTGTGTGTGTGTGTGTGTGTGTGTGTGTGTGTGTGTGTGTGTGTGTGTGTGTGTGTGTGTGTGTGTGTGTGTGTGTGTGTATATATATATATATATATATACACACACACACACACTCTCTCTCTCTCACTCTCTCTCACTCTCTCACTCTCACTCTCTCACACTCTCTCCCTCCATACAAACCCCACACCACACACCTACACCACACATCTACACCACCCACACCACCCACACCACCCACACCACCCACACCACCCACACCACCCACACCACACCACACCACCCACACCACACCACCCACACCACACCACACCACCCACACCACACCACCACACCACACCACACCACCCACACCCACACCACCCACACCACACCACCCACACCACACCACCCACACCACACCACCCACACCACACCACACCACCCACACCACCCACACACACCACACACACCACAACACACCACAACACACCACAACACACCACAACACACCACAACACACCACAAACACACCACAACACACCACAACACACCACAACACACCACAACACACCACACACACACCACAACACACCACAACACACCACAACACACCACAACACACCACAACACCCCACCACACCCCACCACACACCACAAAACACCAAACCCCACACCCAAACACCACACACCCACCACACACCCACCACACACACACCCACACACACACCACCCACACCACCACCACACACACACACACACACACACCACACACACACACACCACACACACCACACACCACACACCCCACACACACACACCACACACACCACACACCCCCACCACCACCACACCCACACCACCAAACCACACACACCCCACCACACACCCCACACACACACACCGCACACACACACACCGCGCACACACACACACCGCACACACACACACCCCCACACACGCCACACAACACCGCACACACACACACCCGCGCACACACCACACACACACCGCACACACACACACCACCCACACACCACACACACCACACCACACACACACCACCACACACCACCACACACACACCCACACACACACCACCACACACACCACACACACACCACACACACACACACCACACACACCACACACACCACACACACCACACACACACCACACACACCACACACACACAACACACACCACACCACACACACACCACACACACCACACAACCACACACACACACACACACACCACACACACACACACACACACACACACACACACACACACACACACACCACACACACACACACACACACACACCACACACACACACACACACACACAACACACACACCACACACACACACCACACACCAACCACACCCCCACCCCACCCCACACACACACACCACACCACACACCACCACACACACACACACCAACACACACCCACACACCACACACACCACACACACCCACAACACACCACACACCACACACACACCACACCACCACCACACCCACACACACCACACACCACCACACACACCACCACACCACACACACCACACACACCACACACACCACACACACACACACACACCACACACACCACACACACACACACACCCACACACCACACACACCACACCACACCCACACCACACCACACACACCACACACACCCACACACCACACACACCACACACCCACACACACCACACACCCACACACACCACACACCACACACACACACACACCACACACACCAAACCACACACCCACACACCAACACACCCACACACCACACACACAACCCACACACACACCACACCACACACCACCACACACACCACACACAACCACAACCCACACACACACCACACACCACACACACACACACACACACACACACGTGAGTGGTGTGTTGAGGCATCTGTGAAAAGAATAGTTTATCTAGAATTGCGAAATAAAAAGAAATATGCCGGCGTATAGTAGTGCCAACAATTTTTGTTTCTAGCTGGAGTTGTGAATGTTAGGGCGAGGAGGAGGCTGGAGGTAGTGGAGAGGTTATATTCAAGAACAATGTGGTGAATATCATGCAGAGAATTTTGAGCGTAGAAATTATAAATCAGTTAGAGGTGACTAAGTGTGTAAGTCAAGAACTGAGGAGGGGTTCTTCAGATAGTTTTGGCATGTAGAGAGGATGGCAAGGGCTAGGATGAAGTGTGTATATCGAGGGATAGGATGTGTGTGAAAATCTGTAGTGGAAGGTAGTATAAGGGATTGTCCCAAGAATGGATGGATGGAGGGAGGGGGTAAAGGAGGCTTTAACTTTTAGTAGCTTGAGCACCCAGCAGGCTTGTACAACTATTAAATAGTGGATACGCTGTTAGTGTGAGGAAGTTCAGGGAAACCGGTTAGCCAGACTTGAGTCCTGGATTTAGGAAGGCAGTGCTTGCCTACTGAAGGAGAAGTGGGGATTTGTACCCTAAAGGTTATCGAAATTGGGATGTCAGCACACTTCTGGCAAGACAGCAATTAAATGAAAGATGATGAATGTGTTTTCTTCTGTATAAGATCCAACCTTGGTAGGAGACTTCCAGTTGGTGCCTCTGATACAAACAGGTCACACAAGCGCCATTGCAGCACTCGTCCTACTGTAACCTTCATGGCCGAGTGGTTACAGTACTGGGTGTTACATGCATAGACCATAGTTCAAGGTCCCATCCATTCTTCTGTTAATTTATTGACAGTCATTCATATATATATGTCGTGCCGAATAAGTAAAACTTGCGATTTTGGCTTAAGTAGCAATGCGCTTCTTGCCGAATAGTGCAAGCTAAAATTTGTGTATGTAATAATTTCGCAAAAATCATTCTGAACGTAACGGAAAAAAAAATAGTTTGTTTATTAAATTATTGTAAACTTCTATAAAATATATTTAGTTGGGTTATAATAAGGTTAGGTAAGTTTCCCGAGGTTCTTTTGGTACAAAATCATTAATTTTTATATTATAAATGAAAAAAAATATATATTTAAATGTATAAGAGAAAATTTTAGAAGGGACTTAATTTTAAATGGTTCTTGCAAACTGACCAGTTATACCTATTCGGCACGACATACATATTTGCGTGTGTGTTTGTGAAAAAATGCCACAGTGAAAATAGGAAATAAAACCTGAGCGCTTCCATGTGCACACTAAATAAAAATATAAACAAAACTTGCTATGGTGGCGGAGTTTGAGCAGACAGAAACAGACTGCTTGACTGTGAACCCGGCAAACCAGTTCTCGGCCTAAATAACCGGAGGGTTTCACCTTTCGTCAAAATTTCGTTTCTACTTATGGTTTGTGACTTGTAAGTCATTGTGGGTATTGTTTGGGACGCAGCTAATAGAATTAGAGATTTTTTTATTATACTGCTGTTACATTTTTATGACAGTAAATTAGTAATTAGAGCAAACTGACAATGAAAGTAGTAAATTGCTACGATAGTTCAAGTGATAACTAGCAAGAGGTCCTAGTGGTCTGCAAACTATCGCAACCACTTTCTCAGTAAACTCATCCGAATCATCGTTCGTCCCCTCAGAGCACCCTGAGTGTAGTACTTCTGAATGGCGGTGCCTGAGTGGTCAGTGCATCCCCCGGAGTGGCCGATGTGACCTCAAATACCAATGTTTCGACAAGACAGATGAAATTGCGTGTGGTAGGTGCTGTAACTAGTTTCAGACAAGATCTAAACCTGTCTTAATCTAGGAAACTTTGCTATATATGCTTATACATGTATGTATTATACACTAACTCTTGTTCATTGAGTGACTTTTGCTATCCACAGGAGAGGAGAGGTGTGACCCAGGAACGTTGAGGTGTGACACTGGACAGTGTATCTCTCCGGACCTTTGGTGTGATTGGATCCCTGATTGTCCAGACGCCTCAGATGAGCGCTACTGTGGTGAGTATTGTAGTGGTAGTGATTCCCTGGTATTATGTTCTGTGGCTGGTGTAAGTACTGCAGCTGTTGTGGTAGTCAGATGTGTGCCGCCATGTCTGGGTAAGGACTAGGGCGGTAGTAGCCAGGTGTGAGGCCTCAGGGCTGGGGTAAGAGAAGCTAATACACTCTTAATGATCCCTCTGAAAATAGTGTCTACAGTGAAAGGCAGCATAAGGCAAATTGACTGCAAAACAAAGGCAGAGATCGTATTCCCAAAACAAACTACCGTCAACACAAGTGTTTACATAATATTCTTGCTGCCATGGCAGTGTTAGGCTGTGGCGTTTCCATCTGACTGCCTCAACTGCAGAGTACATACGCTGTCGCTACCGCAAAGTACATACACTGCTTGTACTGTAGAGTACACACACTTCGTGTGTTGGCTCCTCGCCCAGCTTCTTTGGAAATAGAAATATTTACCCCCAAGAAAGGCTTACACTGGAGACAACCAATACCTGGCAAGCATTACATTGTTACGTAATGGAAAGCCTTTGTTTACGAAGAGCATTTCCTGCCTGCTGAGATTATCCCCTATAACTAAAGCTTTAAACTAGTTACCAGTGCATAGATAAGGTTTATAGTGACTTAATCTTAAATTTAATACAACAAATTAATGTGAAGAGATAATGCTGTACTGATAATACTGAACTGTTAGTTTTGGTTGAATGGAACAGACGCTGTTTGTTCCCAGCCTCTACGGCTCTATCGTATTTAATTTTCCCATGAACAGAGCTATTTTTGGTCTCTTAGCTCTACACGGAGGAACTATATCCTAACCGTCCTGTTCATTTGGTAGTTGCCCTTTTATTTGCGTCTCTTATCTGGTCCATTGCAAAGATTAGTCTTTCAATTTTTCCTTGCAAAGCCTACTTAACCACCAGTCTTGGTTGTTTATCCCTTCTCTCTCTCTCTCTCTCTCTCTCTCTCTCTCTCTCTCTCTTTTCTTTCTCTCTCTCTCTCTCTTTCTCTTTCTCTCTTTCCCCTCTCTTTCTCTCTTTCTCTCTCACTTTCTCTTTTCTCTCTCTCTCTCTCTCTCTCTCTCTCTTTCTCTCTCTTTCTCTCTCTTTCTCTCTCTCTTTCTCTCTCTCTTTTCTTCTCTCTTTTCTCTCTCTCTCTTTTCTCTCTTTCTCTCTCTCTCTCTCTCTCTCTTTCTCCTCTTTCTCTCTCTCTCTCTCTTTTCCCCTACTTTCTCTCTTCTCTCTCCCCTTTCTTCTCTCTGGTAGTGTCCCTTACGGTTGGTATATGAAGTTTTCCAGTACCACCTCCATCTTGGGCCTCCACATTTCTGGTCCCCCCATGTAACTCCAGGTTCAGTTAATTTCCTTGTGATTGAAGACACCCACAATCAGCAGCTTTGCCCTGCTCTCATGAGCGCTACAGGCTACTTCAGCCAGTGTCAACCATCGCTCTCGTACTCTCATCATACTCTTGCCTTGGCCTCCTGTTGTTGTGTGGTGGGTTATACATCACTGCAATTACCACATTGGGACCACCAAACTGATGTGTTCCTATTACGTAGTCTCTTGTTTCTCCTGTGTGTGTGTGTGGGGGGGGGGGTGTCGTGTCGTGACTTCCCTCACCATCGACTACATGTAGTGAGTGTTGCTTAGTACAGGTTAAGTAGAGTTTATGATCAGGCTGGATGTCACCAGGCTAGTACAACTATGTACCACGCTGCTTGTCACCAGGCTAGTGCAACTATGTACCACGCTGCTTGTCACCAGGCTAGTACAACTATGTACCACGCTGCTTGTCACCAGGCTAGTGCAACTATGTACTAGCCTGGATGTCACCAGACTAGTGCAACTATGTTCTAGCCTGGATGTCACCAGACTAGTGCAACTATGTTCTAGCCTGGATGTCACCAGACTAGTGCAACTATGTTCTAGCCTGGAGTCACCAGACTAGTGCAACTATTTTTCTAGTCTGGATGTCACCAGACTAGTGCAACTATGTTCTAGCCTGGATGTCACCAGACTAGTGCAACTATGTTCTAGTCTGGATGTCACCAGACTAGTGCAACTATGCGTCAGACTCATGATCATCCTATACTAATATATCATTGTATATACTTAGATATATTATGGAATCCAAATTTCTCTCCCTCTTTCCTCTTTTTTTTTTTTCTCCTAAATATTTATAATTTCCGTTGCCTCTGCTCTGGAATAAGGTATAAAAAAAAATTCTTGTGTAAGGGCTGGACCATTCTGGAAGATGGCAATTTCTAAGTGATAGTAACTCCAGCTCTGCTGGAATGAAACCTTTCATTGAAGCTGCCGTAGCTGATGAACTTTGGAATGCTTAAGGATATCCTCATTGTAAACTGAAGTCTCCCAGCTCAGTCTGATACATTTCAAATTTCAACGATATGTACGTAACCCATCGTACGTGATAAATTGTTCCCACTGTGTATCATGCGCACTGCAGCTGTATTCGGTATTGCTAAACAGATAAGGACTCAGTGGGTGTTCTGGACAACCTTGATCACTGGCCATTAAATTCAACATGGAAGTCTGCCTGGATGGAATAACCATGCCATCCTCAGACAGTCATTGACAATAACAGAAGCCGACATGGAAATTACAGCTGGTTCCCGGAGAATCCGTTGTATACAGTGTTTCACCCAAGGCTGGGCTTTATAGAGTATACTTAATAAAGCGTAGTATTAAAAGGAGCATACGTGACCAAGCCCAGCCTTGGGTCTAACGTAATAAAAGGCTTCGTGCTGACAGTGGTTATATTTCCACAAGCAGGGAGCACTCGTTGCCCGAGAACTTTAATACCATAGCAGCTACTGCTATTGTCCTGACCATCACACTGGCTCTGGACTTTCTGTAGTGTTTGAGTCTACGACATGACATTTAAAAGATGCCAAGATGATAGAGACGTTGGTTCTAGCAGGCACTCGGCTTAGTCCAAAAGGAGGACATGGGAAAGTGGGAACACAGTAGCTTGGTGAGCCTGCTGTGCCTCCCAACAGGATGTTATCAGCTGAGCTACAGCCGACTTTCAACTCATCCTGATTTATGAGAAGGCTGCAACAGCTGACATGATCCAACATGATATGGAAGTACAGTTTGAGTAAATCACGACCAGGTGAGGTTTGAACCCATGTCCGTTGAATCCTAATATTCACAGGCCAGTGCGTTAACCACTCGGCCAGCTTGCTCTAACAAGATTCATCCAACTTGGAAAATTTCTTATTGAGTACAGTTTGGATAATATTCCTCAACCCTGGTCAGGTTCCGGTGATGGCACTAGATGCCCTAATAAAGGACCAGTACCGCATAATACCGAGAGGCTTCTATGGCGATAAGGAACATATACGGGGAGCACTTGGATGGCTCTACATTAACACACACTTGTGTTATTTAACTTCTTTGCTTTGAATATCCTCACATTAAGATACAAACGTGAATTATATACGAAATTGGTGTTTTCATAAAAAAATGTTAATTTGTCTCTTTACTAGTCTATCTTGCATATTTTGTCATTAAGTGATTAAAAAGTATTTAAAGCTTTAAATTACGCAAAATAAGCTGAAAAGTTATCAAGATCTCGTAGTAAAATATTTAACAAGATATTGTGTGCTCCGCAAAATTTTATGCCTGTCAAAAATGTCTTCAATTTTTAAGTTGCCTGACTATATTCGAATGGCTGGAGAGGGCGCAATTGATGGGGACGTAAAGTGTTATGTTGCAATAGTTATTAAGCTGGAGATGTAAGCGGCTTGAGGTGGGAATGTTCCTGGAATGTTCGGCTCTGTGGAAGGGAATGTGAGGTGGGGAGGCAGGAGTAGTGAACATAGCGTGTAATGTTCTACTGAGAACGGGGAGTTCTTAGGGAGGATGCAGGGACGTAGTGAAGATGAAGGAGGATTGATAGGTTGAAGTTGAGATGTGTACGGAGATACAGCGTAGAGTCGTAGACTGTAGTGAGGAAGGATGGGAAGACTGGAGGTGGGGAGAGAGAAAGCAGATTGTAGTTTGCAAGGGGTGAAGGATAGGGAGGTGGGTGTGCTGCCACTAGCTCAGTAATGGATGAACGACAGCAACAATCCTGGATGAACAATGAATGTTCATTACTGATGTTCAACGCTCGAGTCGTCACAGTAATCAAGTTTCCCGGGAAAGGGAAAAAAATTTGGTTTTAATTTTGGGGATGTTAAATGTGGTAATTGTGCGCTGGGGGATCAACTCCTACCTGTGCTATGACACTGGTGGACTTTTGTGACCGGTGGGTCAAACTGTGACGCTGGTGAATCAACTGGACGCTGTGCATCAACTGTATGCGGGTGCATAACTGTGACGCTGGGCTCAATGTGAGGGGTGCTCACTTTCCGGGGGGGGCATAACTGGGGACCGGGGTGCTAACTGTGACGCGGTGCATAAACTGTGACGCGGGTGCATCAAACGGACGCTGGTGCAAACTGTACGCTGGTGATCAACTGTGACGCTGGTGCATCAACTGGCGCTGGGTGCATAAAACTGTGACGCGGGTGCATCAACTGTGACGCGGTGCATAACTGTGACGCTGGTGCATCAACTGTGATCTGGTCATAATTGCGCTGGTGCATCAACGGGGACGCTGGTGCATCAGCGTGACGCTGGTGCAAACTGTGACCGGTGCATAAACTGTACGCTGGTGCATCAACTGTGAGCGGTGCATAAAAAGGACGGGGGTGCTAAACTGTGAGCGGTGCATCAACTGTGACGCTGGGCACACTGGGGACGCGGGTGCATCAACTGTGACGGGGTTTTGCATCAACTGTGCCCGGGGTCATCAACTGTGACGCTGGTGCATCAACTGTGCGCTGGTGCTAACTGGACGCGGGTGCATAAACTGGACGCTGGTGCATAACTGTGGATGCTGGGCATCAACTGTGACGCGGGTTGCATAACTGTGCGTGGTGCATCAACTGTGACCGGGTTTGCATAAACTGTACGCTGGTGCTAAACGTG